AAATAGACTAGGGATTTTTTGGTTTCCCCAATAAGGCACTATTACTTTCTCCTTCCCACGGTTAAATCAGAAGTTGTGTTCTCTGTTGCTGCTGAATTGTAATTGTTCTTTAATTTTATGAAACAACTATCTGTCCTCCAAACTATGTTTTTTAATGAACTGGCCGTTTATAAGGTAGCATCACCGTCTAGACCGTGAGGCGGAACATGAGATGGACCACATAGTTTCAGATGACAAGGTCCATTTCCCCTTCTCTCTGGCCATGACTTTGAATGAGTTCTTGAAGACCTCTTGGCCTAAGTCGCAAACTCGGATCTCCAGTCTAGTCATATGACTACTGACGTACCACTAGCCCAGTCTTGGGTCTCTGAGTAGTTAATGTCTTTTTAGGATCGTAAATACAGATTGAGCAAGGATTGCTGATATTCAGGCTTTCAGAATTTAAGTGTTTTAAGTATAGTGTTCAGTTTGTAATGGGTATGTTTTTGCCATCCGGTCTACTCAATTGTATATTTTTATTTTGCAAAACATCCCAAGACTTATTTCATGTTGCTTTGTTTAGCACCTTTTGGATTCCCTAGAAGAATTGTTCTCAGAGCAAACATTCCAAAATGAAAGTGGCTCTTCAATGGAATGTCTCCACTGTGCTTGAAGTGTTTCATCCATGGTTGCAATTCTACATTACAGGGTCCTTTGAGCCTTTTTAATTTATTTTTTCCAGTATCTTTACAAGAGCAGTGGTTCCGTCTTCAGGTAAAGGACATACAATTTTGGGTGAAAGTAAATTTCAGTTTATTTGAGTTTATTCATAAGCCTCCACATTTGGTATTTGGTAGTAGGTCAAACCTAGAGAAAGTTCCCTGGTCTTAAAAAGGAATGAGTTGATGACTTGGAGTAGTGTGCTACTGCACACTTTGGCCACTTTGAAGCACGTTTATACGTGTCACTGAGGAAAACCGCTGAAGCATGCATGTCCTTCCCATTCCAGGTAAGGAGCAGCATGAGGCCGTCCCGGCATCTCTCACTCACCTGACAACAGAAGGGCTGAGAGGGTGAGAGAATCCGTCAACTCGGGCCTTGTAGAATAGGGCTGCTCTTCTTGTTCTCTGAGTAAACAGAGGAGTGTTTTCGTTTTCTTATTTTTCCTAAAGAAAGAAATATAAGGCAGAAATATATTTGTATATTTAGACCACTTGTATTCTGTCATTAATTTACCATAGACCTGCCACACAGCATAGCAACTGAATATAATATGGCATAGGTTTGAACAGGTCAAGTTTAGGATATAGTCTTAGTTCTTCAAGAATATATCTTTCTATTATGTCTAAAGAATCTAATATCTTACTATGGCAAGTCCAGACCACTTTTTACCAGCTAATTGACAGTATTTATCAACAGCAATATTTAGCATTTTACTTTATCATCTTTAAATTATGATGCAGTTGATATGGCTCACTATAAAGTGCAGGATTAAACTGGACTTTGGTTGAAATAAAGGCAAAGAAAGTTTTAAAACATAAGTGCTGTGTATTTCACAAGAAATCAGTTGCATGTTTAGATTTAAAAGGGAAGAAGATGACTATTAAATCACATGGTATTTTGGGCATTGAAGGAATCTTTCATTCTCTGAAGAAGAGTTGTACAGTTATATTTTTATGAAAAATAAAATGTCTTCACCAGAATATCTCAAAAGGTTTCATTTACTGAGATTCAATATACAGTATTATAGGCATCACACTTCTCGAATCTTTGTCCGTAGAATGGTGGTATAGTTGAGATCTTTTGAGCTATAATAGTCTTCTGTTAAGCTAGTATTAAGAACAGCTCCCGTACTATCTGACCGTGTCCTCTAATTATCTACATAAAGTGACATTTTCAAGCTACACTTCTTTCCTTGTTCCATTCATTTTACATGAGTGTACGGTGGTCACGGAGTAGTAGGACAGTCTTGTAAGGTTGTGTAAAGACACCAGAGGAGGCGGCACATGGGCCGAAAATCCAGCCCACATCTCCCTCAAAAGTGGAGCAAGGGGCAGTATTGCCTGTTCACCAAGTCACATGTATGGCACAGGCCTTCCAAGAAGAGAAGTCTTCTAATTTGCTCAAAGGGGGTGCCTTTTTTTTTAATCATTTTATCGGGGGCTCCTACAACTCATCGCAATGCATACATCCATCCATTGTGTCAAGCACATTTGTACATTTGTTGCCATCATCATTCTCAAAACATTTGCTTTCTACTTAAGCCCCTGGTATCAGCTCCTCATTTTTTCCCCTCCGTGCCCGCTCCCCGCGCTCTCATGAACCCTTGATAATTAATAAATTATTATTTTGTCATATCTTATACTGTCTGATGTCTCCCTTCACCCACTTTTTTGTTGTCCATCCCCCAGGGAGGAGGTCACATGATCCTTATAATCGGTTCCCCCTTTCTACCTCACCTTCCCTTACCCTCCCAGTATCACCACTCTCACTGGTTCTGAAGGGATCATCCACCCTGGATTCCCTGTTTCCAGTTCCTATCTGTACCAGTGTACATCTTCTGGTCTAGCCAGATTTGTACGGTAGAATTGGGATCATGATAGTTGGAGGGGGAGGAAGCGCTTAAGAACTAGAGGAAAGTTGTATGTTTCATCATTGTTACACTGCACCCTGACTGGCTCGTCACCTCCCCACCCTGAAACCCTTCCATAAGGGGATGTCCAGTTACGTACAGATGGGCTTTGGGTCCCCAATCTGCACTCCCCCTCATTCACAATGATTTGATTTTTTTGTTCATTGATGCCTGATACTTGATCCCTTCGACATCTTGTGATCACACAGGCTGGTGTGCTTCTTCCTTGTGGACTTTGTTGCTTCTTAGCTAGATGGCTGCTTGTTTACCTTCAAGCCTTTAAGATCCCAGATGCTATATCTTTTGATGACCGAGCACCATCAGCTTTCTTCACCACATTTGCTTATGCACCCATTTGTCTTCAGTGATCATATTCGGAAGGTGAGGCCTTTCTTAATTCGCTCCCCCCACCCACCCGCCTACCCGTGGAACCTTTCAGCGAGGTACATGATGGTAGGCTGAAGCTGACCACACAGGAGAGCCCATTGTGTGCCATCTTCCTATCGCCACAGTCAGGGATGCCATACTAGTTGTTTTTCATCTGTAATAGAATATTTACATCACTAAAACCAAACTCGCTGCCATTGAGTCCATGCCAACTCACAGTCACCCAAAGGACAGGATGGAACTGCCCCTGTGTTTCTGAGGCGGCAACTCCTAGAATTTTAAAAGTTTTATTGGCATATAATTCACATACCATACAATTTAATAGTTCAGTCATATCAAGAAGAGTTGTATAAGCATCACCACAATCAATTTTAGAACATTCATTTTTACACTCATTATTAGCTCCCCATTTCCCACTAACTTCCTCTGCCAATAATCCCACAAGGAACCATTAATCCAATTACTGTCTTTCTAGATTAACCTATCCTGGATTTCATGTACAGTACAACATTTTTTAAAAATTAACAAAGTAAAGCAAAAACCTCAATCACAAAATATTAAAAATTAGCAAATTTTAAGTGGATCAAAAGGGAGATCAAATGATAAGGTGTTAAATTTTAATCAAACTGCATCTGCAATAATTCACTTCCAATGGACTCTGCCTGATAGCAAGGCTACCCACATCCTTGATCTGTGGTCAGAAGGAATTCACTAAAGGCTAATCCACATGTATTTCCTCCTCACTTTTCTTTGCACAACTTTAAGATGAGTTAAAAGGAAGATGAAATGACATTACATTTTAACCTATGGCTGCCATAATCGACTTTACAATGCTTTCTGTTTTATAACAAGGCTATTCCCTCAACTATGATCACGGGATCACCAGAGACTTATGACCCTACAAATGAATTGTGAACTTTCATGGTCATCACTAGCCTTCTGCAAACCAGGTGTTCATAATTTTAAGTTCTGATGCTATTCCCTCCTCTAGATTTGGATTTTATTTATAATCCTTGGATCACCTACGCTGGGATGCTTCTTCCATGTGGACTT